TTAGGATTTATTGTTTCATGCAGTTGTGTTTTGGTGTTGTCTATTACCCAGCAGTAAGGATCAGATACATCACTCTAATAAATCTTCCCTTACGCACTACAGGTGGATACAATACTGGGAAACTTCACTTCTAATTATATAGTTTGTACTCTACTTTCAGGCTTTATATTTGATTTTTAAGTCCTTATTCTGCAAACAAACTAATTAAGACTCTTTGAAAATGAAAATAGATAATGGCCAGTGGTGCTGATAAATTTTGTAAAATATCAATGAAATGTAGACATTAACAAGGTCATTAGTTATTAATAAGATAAACTCATAAAAAAATACTGTCTGGGGCTGGAGCAATAGCACAGCGGGTAGGGCGTTTCCCTTGCACGCAGCCAACATGGCCGACACAGGTTTGATTCCCAGCACCCCATATGGTCCTCTGAGCACGATCAGGAGCAATTCCTGAGAGAATGAGCCAAGAGTAACCCCTGAGCATCGCTCGGTGTGACCCAAAAAGAAAAAAAAAAGTACTGTCCTCTCTTTGAAGCCTTGTAGCTTTGCTCTTTAGAACAGAAGTTTGTACTTCCCTGTTCGCCTAAGTTCTGGAAAAATGTTCTAGAGAATGAGCCAAGAGTAACCCCTGAGCATCGCTGGGTGTGACCCAAAAAGAAAAAAAAAGTACTGTCCTCTCTTTGAAGCCTTGTAGCTTTGCTCTTTAGAACAGAAGTTTGTACTTCCCTGTTCGCCTAAGTTCTGGAAAAATGTTCTATCTTTTGTACACACATCAGACCTTCTAGAAAAAAATGTGTGAGATAGTATACATTACTTGTAATATAATGATGATAGTAAAAAAAAATCTATTATTGCTTTACTAACGTATGCTATATATGCAACAATATAAAAATGGGATTTGTGCTTCCAATTTGTTTGTATAAATTATCAAATAAATTTTAAAAGCCAGCTTAAGGACTAAATTTTGTTTGCCTATTATTATAACCTAAAACATAAAAAAGTTAAAAATTTGGTATATCATGTTTACCACCAAAATTTAAGTCAATATTCCTAACCACTTATAACTCCATCCATGTTTTAGCAAAAGGCCAGCATCAACTTTCTTATGACTCAATAGTATCCTACTGTGTCTAAATACCACATCTTCTTTATTCGCTTACCTGTTTGGGAGCACTTTATTTCTAGATCTTGGCTGTTATCAATAGTGCTGCAGTAAACATAGGTATGGACATATCTTTTCAAATTAGTGTTTTTATGTTCTTTAGATAGGTATGTAGTAGTGAGATTTCTAGCTCTATGGTAGTTCTAGATTCAAGTTTTAGAGAATCCTCCATTATATTTTCCACTGAGACTAAATCAATTTTCGTTCTTTTTCTCCACTCCATTGCCAGTACTTGTTTCTGAATAAAGACTAAACTCTTAACTCCCAAATTCAATCAATATAATCCAATATGATTCATAGAAACTTAATTATGTCAGCTTAATTTCAGAATATTGTAAAGCTTACTTTATTATTCAGTCTCACCAAGTGAAAATGAGTAGAAGTAAATTTTCTTTTTTCTCATTGTTTGACTTTTGAAAAATTCTATAGACAGAAGAAGAAAAATAGACAAATCACTACCTTGCTAAAATTAGTAATGTTCTACTATAAGCTCTCTAGGTTAGAAGGGAAGCAGGAGATGTTCATATTCCTGTTTTTAGTTTTTCCAGGGAAAAATTGATGACAAATCACTTACTAATTGTAAGAGAGTAAGAGAGAGCCAGATGATAAAAATCACAATTTGGTAACTCTTCTTCTATGGTTTTTATTAATGACGCTATCTGTGAGACATACAAATTGACATATGAATTAAAAGATAATCAAAACTTTGATCACATCCCATTTAAATGTGTGTTATTAGTTATTATGCAATATAAAAATTACAATGCAATTGTATAGCATTGCACTGTAACACAGGATTTCCTGAAGGAAATAAAGTAAATAAAAAATTTGTTCCAATTCTTGAACAACTGATGCTATATTTCAGTTTTTATAGTTCACACATTTTCAGAACTCTTCCTACCAAAAACACCAATATCAAATTTAGTGTTAGGAGTGGAAGCATCCAATTTTAATGGCAACAAGTCAGTAGGATGTTGGATTTTCAGAGTACTGTAGCATTGTAGTACTGTCCTCCCATTGTTCATCAATTAGATCCAGCGGGTCCAGCAACATCTCCATTGTGAGACTTATTCTTACTGTGTTTGGCATATTGGATACATCACAGATAGCTTGCCAGGCTTTGCCATGCAGGTGAAATACTCTCGGTAGCTTGCCGTGTTCTGCGAGAGGGGCAGAGGATCGAACCCCAGTCAGCCAGGTCCGCTGCGTGTAAGGCAAACATTCTACCCACTGTGCTATCGCTCCAGCCCTTTCAAAGTACATAAAAAATAAAGTGAAATTATAATTCACCCACAATCTATGTACTACCTACTGTAGTGGAGGTTGAGTAAAAATACATGTGTGAAATTTGATCTTTCCAATTCAAAGTTCTTGTGGAAACATAGGAAACATGTATACTTTTTCATTTTCCTACAATGAAAATACCATACAAAATTAATAAATTGACATTGGTACAATACTAGTAACAAAATGTAAATAAGCTCTAAAATTAAGTATTTTTGTGAATCTTAATTTTTTTTATTTTTAATTTAGAATAGTTTAAGGCTTAGTCATTACCATATTGATTAGTTCACTTACATTTCTATCTATAATAAATTTTAAAGGTTAGAAAGTGCATTTTAATATTTTCCAAAATAAATTATGCAATGTGCTAGCAAGCTGTGTCAGTGTACAAATCAAGAATGTGATAATCACCAAAGTAAAAATACATCTGTTTCAATTGTTTTCTAGCAAAGAAGAAAATCAAATATTAAAACTATGTGTGAATGAAATATTTTCCAGGCATTTTTATTAAAAATAGATTGAAGAATTTATCTCAGCTTCCTATGATTGAATAGGTTTCCTTAGTTATTGAAGTGTTCTTAAAGTGCAAGGATAAAGAAAAAGACTCTCCAAATATAACCCAAGAGAGACCATTTTATATCCCAATTTTATTCAACATTTTTAATACACAACGTTAATCTACTGGGGATACTCAGTATATTTGAAATTCCTTTTATTTTTCTATTAATATGCATGTATTACACTTTTATATAATACAGAATTTCCAGTGTTTTAAAGAACATACTTTTCAATATGGAACAAGATCGCTAATTTTTAACAAAACCAGGACAAATTCATAATTTCCAAAACAATAATTTTCTACTTTGTTCCAAAATTAACATTTTAATTAATGAAGAGACTCAAGCACAACAATTATGTCTTTATGAGTTTATATACTCTTGATCCATTGTAAAACCCACTCAGTCATCTGTGTTGTTGTTGTTTGTTTTTTTTTTTTTTTTTTCATTAAAGTAGAGGGAAGAAGTAACTTTATTCCATGAGCTTGTGAAGCAGTTTTCTATAGTTCGGTGTTTCTCAATGTTCATCCAACCATGGCTTCCTTTCTGACCTGTTTCCTTTCTATTACCTGCCCTTCCCACCTCATTCTATCAGTTGGCCACTGGTGAAATTGTTTAAATGGGGCATCATGGTACAACTCAGGGACCATTTTGAAATATACTGGGGGCATATAGGGGCCATATATATGACAACCCAGTTATGGAGCACTGTCCTACTTAAGTGTCTAAAGTATACTTACAAACAAATGCAACTTTAATAATTATCATAGTTCTTTTGCGTTTTGTCTAGAAAAGAATTGGGGAAGTGCTACTGCTTTTTGGAAGTTGTAACCAATGAACAAACTGAAGTCCTCCAGATACATTGCTTTTAATGCTAATTAATCACTGAAGTGGTAGTAAGTTTGAAAGCTAGTATGTCCATACTTTCTCTAACATAATGGAACTCTAATTTCCAAAGCATCTTTCTATTCCTCTAAGATGAGTAAAACATAGAATTCTCTTGCTTTGCAGACCTTTAAGTACACATTTACACACTATTATTACAGAATGGCTATGCAATTTCCATTCTTCTCTCCTTTCACATCACAAACAAAACAAAATAAACATATAAAGTTATACATTCTGCAATAACTTAGAAGAAAAATACACATACATGTTTAAGGCCTTTAAATATTTATAAGACTTTCCTGTAGAACTTAAAATCACAAACGTTTAAAAGACTACAAAAGCATGGACAAAAACTTACTTAATAAATTGCTTCAATGGGACCGCTGTGTAAGGTAAGGAAGTATTTATAAGTTTGAGACCAAAAAAATGAACAATTCTATCAACAGACTAAACAAATCTATAAGCATTCAAACTGTCATTGGAATCGAGCAAAAGGCAGTCTTTTAAGATGAGCTAAAAAAACGAAGTAAAAAATTACTAGAGGAAAATCTAAATGAATGATTCTCAAGCTAAGAAATCAGAAACCCACATGCATCCCTGGCAATTTTTTTGAAACTGAAGACTACCTATGTACTTGACTGGTCACTGCTGATTTTTGTGGAAGGAAAAATTTTTAAAAAGAAATAAAATAAAAGCTCACTTTTAGAAAGAAACTAAAAGAGAGTGCTCTAGAATGGTCTATAATGAAAATGGTGCTTCGATTCTATGACTACCTATTTAATTGACTGAGAGCTGCAGTCCAGTCATTTGTCTTGTCTATACATTCTTATATGATTGATGTATTCAGTTAAGTAGTACTTGCCAGCAATAATTATTATCAATGGATATATATTTCCATTCCTTTAACAAAGCAACTTTAAGATGTTGAAACATGTAGGCTTTCCGAGCTATAAGATTAGGGCACAAATAAAATTGTCTCAATCCACACCATGCCAGAGCAGTTTGCAAAGGAAATGTCAGTAAAGCCATGTGCAGTTCCATTTGCCAATGAACAAAGGACTCAGGAACATATCCAGCGCACTTGGGGGACTGAGAATCAAGTAAAGCAGTCACGTTTGGAACAAGAGTCCAAAAGATATCTCTGGTGTCACTCAAATAACCAACTTTTCACCAACTCTACAGACTGGCAACTTCGAATTCTTTAAGCAAGTGCAGTTTTACAAGTGTTTGAACACAGTTCAAATCTGATAAAATCTTCATGACACAGAACATCATGTAGGATTTTTTTAAAAGTCTTCATTTCAGAAATATGCTGATTATGAGCCACAAAATCTCTTGGAAATAAGAGTTTGACATGCATCTTCAGAACTGTATAAAAATCTCTCCAATATCCCCTCAGGAGTAAAGTTTCTATGCATATGTTCAATGTAATCAGCTTTGACGATCACCTGACTTATCCTGGGTTAATGGGTTACCTGCAATAGAAAAAGAAAATATATATTATTTCATAGTATGAATATAATATAAACGCTAATTTTTTAATTTTACTTTGCAAATAAAATGTTGGTATTTAAAATTCAACAATTTATCTAATATTTAAAATAAAGGACTACCATATCTGATGTTTCCTACTTATACAAATGTAATACTATTTTCTCTATTCTATTAGAACCATTTCCAAATGACTCCACAGACTGGGGAGATTTTAATTGGTGATTCTTCTCCTAAATACAAAGAATGATTTTGGAATTCCTATTCTTAATAGAGATGTGATCATAATCCAGAGATATAAGCATACTATGCCCATTCTAAGGGAAGAAAGATCTTTTCTGTCAGGAATATAATTAGCCATTGCTTTAATATAGACCATGGGAATTGATACCATAAAATTCATTCTTGAAATTTTTCAAAATTCAGCAATTATATGTCTGAAAATTTAATTATTAGTTGAAAAAAATCGACAATGTTTTATAAAATTTTAAAAGTGCCACCAAATTCTAAAGTAAATGATCTGGGATAGTATCATTAATGCTATCAAAAATAACTATTATAGCATTAATAATAATTCATTATTAATAATAATAATTGAGTAGCTATGAGGCAGTGTGAAACTGCCTCAGTCTGATGAATGTTTGTATATTAGGAAAAATAGTACAAAGAAGATCTGATGCATATAGGTATGTTTCCATACAGAAAGATATAGAGACTCAGTAAGACAGAGTATTGATACAGAAAAAGGTTCTCAGACTAGATTGGGCTATGTTAAATTGCCTAATGATTGCCTTTGGCAAAGGTTATATAAAAAATGAATTAAGAATTTAATACTTAGGTATCTGTTTCATATAATGTAATAAAGCAAAAAATAGAACATTGAAAAGCTATAAAAAGTAATTTTGTTACTTTTCAAGATTACAAAAAAGAGAAACATATAAACATATAAAATAATAAAACATATAAAAGAATACAACTTGTCTTGGCTAGACTAAAATTATACTACAAAGGAAGGAATAAAAGTCAACTGTGTATTTTCCACATAGAGGCAGCCATATTATGGATGAATTATAATGGTCATTTTGGCCTCCTGTCATTTCCAAAAAAGAAACCTTTGCTTTCATAATTGAGATATCTTGATATCATACACAAAAACTCTACAGCATAGGATTCAAATACTTCTCGTAGTAGGGGTAACTTAGAAAAATTTATAATAACTATTCCCTGACTACTATTCAGTGGGGTGTAAATAAATCCATTTGTCAATTATAAGAACATTGAGAAGAAATACAAATACAACGTCATAGGGTGATATGGCTGATCCTTTTGAAAAATATAGAAACTATGTTTAGGATAAAGTTTCTTGAAAAGCACTGGTTTAGCATAATCCTCTATTTTTATTAGGTCAGATTATCTTCTCTTTTGAAAATTCCCTGAGCATAAAGACATACATTTGAGGGCCTAACTTGGAGTCCATCTTTTAGAAATTAGTATTTTAAATGTCAGAGATAAAGAAGAAGTGTGTGAATCTGATAAGTTTGATAGAAAATAAGTGGTTTTGAATCTGCAGGGATTCTTCATAGATTATCATAGAACCGTGGTACAGTGATTCCAATAAAGTGATATATTTTTGAATCATTTTAGGCATAGATTCTAAGTTAGTATTTCTGACCACAGTAGATGCATTCTTATATCTTCAGTTCAAGCTAAATATTTCTTCCTGTTGATTTATATGAAGTGTGTCTCTCAAATGTTGGATATTAAAGCTTTGATTTTATTGTTCTAGGAACATGAGCTTTGGATCATATAATTTTGATTTCTCCATATTTATAGAGATAACTTACACATTTAATCTATGTATTGTAACTTACACATTTAATCTATGTATTGTAAAATTATGCTTAAATGTATGTTTATTTTGTTCTGGTAATTCTGGAATAATTATCTAATTTGCTTTTTTATGTCATATTTAAAATGTAGATTTGATTTTTAGAAAACATACTTCTTAGAGACTCCAATTTTGTATGATGTTCCTATTTATCCTAAAATTTTTCCATAACAACTTATAAGTTGACTAGGGGTCTATTATTTCTGGTTGCAAATCTTAATATTTATTTTCTTGGGCTACACCTGGAAATGCTCAAATTATAATAATTCCTGAGTGCAGAACTCCTGGTTCTGCACTCAGGAATTATTCCTGGTCATACTCCGGGCACTATATGAAATGTTGGGAATTGAATCTAGGTCAGCCACATGCATGGCATGCACTCTACTCACTGGTATTGTTTCTCTAGCCCCTGAGCATTTTATTTTATACTTAGGGTTGTTTTTTTTAATGTGTGTATGTGTGTGTAGTAGTAGTAGTAGTAGTAGTAGCAGCAGCAGCAGTAATATTAGTAGTAATAGTAGTAATATTAGTTTTCTTGAACACTATTTAGAAGAGAAAAGGGGGAGAGTGTTCAAGAGAGATAACACAGGCTTCTTTAGAGTGGAAACAGGCTAGCATGGAAACTTGCAAGCAAGATACATGTTCAAAGGAGAACACAGGCTTGAAGAGCCTTAGATACAATTTGTGCAAATTATTTCATTTTGGTTAAAGGACTATTGAGGTTCAGCATATATTGTTCTGGATTTAGGTCTGCATAGCCGTAAGACCAACTATCTTACATTTACACACCCTCTGAGACTCTTGGCTTCCTCTGTGTAAAACAGGTATAGTATATTAGTTCATCAGGTTGAATGAAGATTTAATAATACAATTCTTGTAAAAAAACCCTCACTTTGACTACTATGAAATACTATAAAAATAAACCTAACTACAAAAATTATTTTATGAATAACTTTTTAATAAGAGTGACAAAATGTAGAAAAGATTAAATTAACATGCAGCTTAATTATTGAAATATAGGGATTCAAACAAAAGCTAAACAATAGCCTGTCTCTTTCAATATATAAATACATAGGTATGATATGACCATGTAACAGTGCCTTACCTGACAATCTCCACATTTGTTCCAAAAGAAATAGTAAAAAACCAGGATTTAAAAATGTAAGAGGTGATTCTTAATATTTGTATAATATCACCAATTTTAATCACCTAACCACAGATATAAATTATTTTTAAAATAAAGGTATCTGAAATTTAAGCAAAAAACTTCACATTTTAATTATTTATGTGCTAATTAAATTCAAATTAATAAACTTAAGCTTGAATTCATATGCTACTGGGTGAAGAGGGTAAAAATGTCATTATAGTCTTTGAAGACCATAAGTTGGAATTTCCTGATATGCAAAAGATGTCTAAGCAGTATTTTTACTATCCAAAATTAAATTTTCCCTACTTAAAGATAAATTTCAATATGCCAAATTAAGTACTGCCTTGCCTTTAGAATTTAAATATCACTCTTCTCATCTAAGCCTTATTTTTTTGAAGAGGTAACAGAATAAAAGTTTTATTTTCTTTGGTTGGGGGCATATCTGGTTGATCCCAGGACTTACTCCTGGTTTTGTTCTTGAGGTAATCACTCCTGGTGGTTTTGGGGGATCATCTGGGTTATCAAGGACCATATAAGGGACTATATGGGATACCTGGTTTGGCCATGTGCAAGATAAGCACCCTCCCTGCTATACTATGTCTACAGTCCCAAAAAGTTTTATCTTCTAAGATTTTTAACAAGTTCAGTAACTAAAAGCAGAGGTAACAATAAAATCAGTTTTACTGTATAGGTAATAGTATTTGCTACCATGAATTCACTAACTCCTGGTTCCGAGGGACTAGATATAAAATACTGCAGGAGGAAAAGAAATGGTTCCACAACCATTGTAGTTATGCCTGAGCTTCATATACTATAGTTACTATCTTTGTAAAAATGTTCTTTCAAAACCAATATTTTACAGAGTTATATTTTATGTATATCCTATTTGTGTATGCTACACAACATATTATTATTATTATTATTATTATTATTATTATTATTACATTTTGCATGTGTTTAACTGACAAGAAAAACTACTTGGAAATGAAAGATTTTCTAGTCATGAATGCAAAGCAAAGCTGATAAAAATCTACTAAGAAAATCCTAATCTGTTAACAGAAAACAAGTGCACTATGATTTTAAGATAACAACATCCATTTTCTCTGTCTAACATATGTATTGTAGGTCCTTCACTACATTACTAAAATAAAGGTGTGGTAAATTAAGTTTTTCCACCAATCTAAACTGAGAAAATTAAGACCATGTATGACATTACCTGATTTTAATTTGAAATTAAGTAAAGTCAACTATTTTATGTATTTTTTTGTTTTTAGAACATTATGAAATACCTGCTGTCTTCAAGACAGGAAGGCTCAGAAGAAACAAAACTCTTGTGCTCAAATTTAGATGCTTTCAAAGTTCTTAAAATAATTCAATTCTTATATCTATTATTTCTTTTTACACTGTTCAAGTCAGCTATCTAGGTTAATAATGGGAAAAAAAACATTTCATGGAAAGGCATAATTACAAAATAAAAGTGGGCTATGTAGGCAGAATGCCTGGATTCAAATCTCTCCTATGTTACTTTCTAGTACTGTGGGATTGAATAAATCATTGAAGCCCCTATCCCTCTCTGTGTGTAATAAGAGAATAGTATTATTAGTTTCTTTATAAATGTGATAAAATCAGAAAATTATTAAAAAGTATCTTATCTAGTTAAATGCTTTCAAAATATTAGCAAGTAGTAGCAGTAGTCAATCTCCCAAAGAATACAAAAGGTGATAGATATATTTATACATATGTATAAGTAGTTATACATATGTATAAATATTACCTATTGTCATGGGACTTAATATTCCTCAATTAAAATATTAAACAATAATAATTTGAATTTTATGTTTTATATTAAGTGATCTCATAATTACTCCTTTTTTAATCATAATTAATTATAAAAGTCAAAAGGAATGACAACTGTTTTGTCCAGCATTGACAGAGATACTGTCTTCAAGACAAGGTAGAAGAAAGGAGTAATTTAAAAGGATGTACCTTGAAGCCACGCTGTCTAGGTTCAATGCTCTGTTCTGCTGATAATTCAGTGTGTGACCTTGGGTAAAATAGGCATAATATATTAGTGACTCCTAATCATATGGCTGAGGAATAAACCCTGTCAAATATCTAAAACAATGCCAGGCATGGAACAAGTACTCTGTAAATACTATTATTATTCAGGTATGTGAACATTTGTAAGCATCCGAATGTATTAATTTCTGGGGTTTTTTTTTTTGCTTTTTGGGTCACACCCGGTGATGCTCAGGGGTTTCTCCTTGCTCTGCACTCAAGAATTTCTCCTGGTAGTGCTTGGGGGACCATATGGGATGCTGGGAATCAAACCTGGGTTGGCCGCGTGCAAGGCAAATGCCGTACCCGCTGTGCTATTGCTCCAGCCCCGGTCCTGATTATTTTTGAGGAAAGGTTTCTATATTTTGCAAGCACATAATTCCATTATTTTAAATATTCTCTGACTTTCTAACGAACCAGCTGTCATAAGCCTTTTCATGCAGGGCATTTATTTAGGAAATTAGCATTCTACTTTAACCACCTAGGCTTAAAGGATAAATGTGGAATAATTATGCCAGAACAATGCAGATCTGTGAATTTCTTTATTCATTATCTATGATTCCTCTGACATAGTTTTTCCTTAATTGAGTCCTATCCCATATCCCAGAATACTTTGAATCTCAGTTGTCCAGTTTGAAAATCTACATAAATTAGTGATATTACTGCCAAATCTCCACAGTATCTATGTGAATTTAGTTTAATTCACAAAATAATGTATTCTCATTCCCAATTTTGTCACTAAAATTTTGTTATAAAGAACTATTTGAAAATATACTCCTAAGAATACAAAATGAATCACATATGTTCATTAGTATGAGACAATGCTTTATGAACATTACAAGTAAATGACATTTGAAAAGTTATCACCCACACTATTAGAGAAACATTATTTTTCTAATTATTAAAGAAGATAAGTCAATCAAGAAATATGTAGTAGTACTTCTGAAAGGGGGTGGTAAGTCTAAATGCAGTGTATGTTCAATGTTTATAGTATAGCTAAGTAATAATGTCACTAATAGGCACTTTTTCAAACTAACATCCCAATAAGTTAACTTATTTGATAAAGATAAGAGGACTAATAGGACACTCTTATAACCCTAACTGCTGATTGCAAATAAATTGTCTTGGAATATAATCACCGCTTCACTTCAGATGTATCTTGGTGAGGTGGGAAAGCACAAACTGGAGGTGCTTACTCCTGGCTCTGCACTCAGGGATCAACTGGAGGTGCTTACTCCTGGCTCTGCACTCAGGGATCACTCCTGGAAGTACTTGGAGGACTATCCAGGATGCTGGAGATCGACTCAGGTTGATTGCATGCAAGGCAAATGCCCTACCCTCTGTACTATCACTCCAACACACAAATGCATTTTTAATGTAGTTCTTCTAAGTACATAAATTAAGCTCCTGCCTCACTTTTGTATGTATTACGTGTATAATTACAAACATCATTGTTCTGCACTGGCAGCTTTTCTCATTTATGCTAGAGAAAATCTGCTGTTGAGTTGATTATACATAAGAATGTGCTTGCACTATCTTGTGATGCATCATTGTAGAAAGTATTTTAACACTTAACAGTCTGGGATGATGAGTTTAAGAGCTCTTAAACAATTATGGTTGAGGCTGCAATTTCACATGAATCTTCCTCATAAATATACTCTACATAAAAAATTAAGACCTTTGGGGCAGAGGGTGTGAGGGAGTTCCTAAGTGATTCTTGGCCATCTAGGAGCTGGTGGTTCATTGCATTAGGGCCCAAGGATGCAGTATTCCATAGGCCCTGTGGCTCCAAGGATTATCTGGTCATCTCACTGAAGCTGTAGGGTCTTCAGGGCTGTATCAGGTAATTCTAGGGGAACCACGTGGTTCTAGGGGGGTTGGCTGCATCTACTTTAATACTTGTATTCTTTCTCTCCGGTTCTTACTCTAAGAATGAATTACTTCTAAAAGCAGTTAAGTAGAATAACAGTCCTGAAAATAGGAAGGGTATTTGACTTGTGATCCTAAAATCAAACTAACAATGGCTGGTACAGGATTGGCCTCAATGTTTATTTTAAAGCCTGGAGCACCAAGGGTTAGCTGGGCTATCTGTTTAATACTCCAAGAAATTTTTGTAGTGAATATTTAGATCTAACAGCGCTTCAATACTGGGACTCATTAAAAATAAGCAACTAATCTTCCTAGTATCAATATTACTGAAGAATAGTGATTGATTTTTATAAGAGTTATATATTAGTGATCTATACTAGTGTTACTTTCTGCTACTTTTGGAACTCTCTACTATTTCTCTTGTCTAGATTGAAAGATCTTTAAATGATGGTCCAGAGATTAATGTGCTTGACTTGCATGCAGAGAATCTCGGTTTGATATCCACTACCACATACAGACCCTGAGTCATATTAGAAAAGTTCTCTGAACAGAGCTAGTACTAAACCCTCAGTGCAGTCAGGTAAATTAAAAACAAAATCATCATCATCATCATCACCATCATCATCATCATCATCATGAGATCTCTTAGTATCTGAGGTTTCTATCTGCTGAGTGATTCTTTAATTCCTTCTATTCACCAAATGGCCTTTCTTTTTTTGTTTTTGTTTTTTAGGGAGGTGGGGTGGGGGATGGGGGACACAACTCACTCCTGGATCTGTGCTGAGGAATCAGTATTTGTCACTAGATAACAAAAACAAAACATTCCCTGATTTCTATTTGTGTAGTTAAATTTATTTAACGTCCAAAAAGAAATCATTAAGACTCTCTTCCTGCTATACACCTATTAGGGTAATTTTGAAAATTAAGCAAAATGGGATTCAGTCATATTTTTCTGAGAAAATTTCAAAAAGTCTTCAAAATGTGAAAATAGCTATTTTAAATTTGGGGGAATCTGAATTTACTTTAAAGATACTGTTCCTAAGCAAATATTTTCCATATATCAGCATTTAGAATTCATATTTTTAGAGATAGTTGATATTTTAAAATCCCAGTTAAAGGGATTTTTTCATTAAATGTGATTTTAGGTTCATTCCTAGACTCATCTTATTTTTAAAGGAGAAATTTGAATTGGCAGTTTTTATCCTCTTTAATATTTGACCAGATTAAACTTTTAAAGTAACTTTCTGACAAAGTCCAAGAATTGCAGCCTCACTAATTATGAGGACCTGCAGAATGAAATAAAATTAAAGAAAAAGAGCTCTTGGAAAAAAGGCCTGTACATTGGAAAAAAATTGTCTTTAAGTCACCTAGATATTATTACTATGAAGGCACCATTTCTTCTTTACTTTCTATTTGATTTTAAATCATAAATGCAAATGACTTTTAGCTAGTATTGTGCCTAAAATATACCTGTCCTCTCCATCACTAACTTCTTCCACAAAACGGGTTTTAGAGATGATAAATTTATAGGTGGTTTAGATTTTTGGGTAAAAAAAATTTATCTTTCTGTGAGTTGCAAAATTAGAGTCCTGTTTTTAAGGACAGGGAAGCAAAGGGCTAGTATAGTTTACTAGGAAGATTTTTGTTTTTCTTTTCCCCAGATGTTTCTATTTCTAATTTATTACTTAAATACAGTCAGAGTTGACTAGTCCCAAATTGCTAAAGGTAATAAAAATACCAATCTTTTTGTGGCTTGAGAGATAGTACAACAGATAAGGTACTTGGCTTGAATACAGCCAACTCTATTTCAGTTCTTTGTACTGCATACATTTCCTCAAGTCCCACCAGAAATACTCTCTGAGCACAAAATTAGGAGTAAGCCCTGAACACTGCTGGGTGAGTCCCCAAATCCAAAATATGCTTTTTAAAATATGAGGCTAGTTATTTCTAATTACTTAGATTTGGTATAACTTAATTTATGCATTTTATTTTTTTCACAATTGAATAAAGAATTGGGTAATTCAAGAACATAATATCAATAAACCAAATGAAGATTAAGTACACGCTTCATGGATCAGAATTTTTCTATGTTAATTTCCAATTAAAAGGACAAGGCCCACTAACTATAGCAGCAGTTTTGCTTGTTCATTTCCTATTTGTTGAAAGATGATATGTGCCCTGTAAGGTCATTGTAGATGACAATATTGGGTTTATCAATATGAAATATTGGCCATTGGTAGCTGCTGTGTTCAGTTTGGGGGTTCTCATAAACGGCAGAAAATGATGGCTTGCTTTTTAAAAAAATGTAAGAATATTCACTTTCTTTACTGATCATTTACTGCTCTTTGCCTTCTGATCTCTAACACTGCACCAACTTTTCTTCTCCCCCTAAAATCAGGGGATACCTGTAATGCTACTAATAAGAAAGAGTAGGTTACAGTTAATCCTGTAACATGGTGTACACACCTGCTGTCTGTGAGAAATAAACCGAGATGAGAGATCATTTCTGGAGTTGTTTTGAATCTTTATTCCTCAAGGAAACTTCTGTCCCTTCCTTAGAATCCGACCAATATACTAGTATTCGCCACTATAGTGCTCCAACATAGAGCAAGGATTTTTTTTTGAGTGTGGAAAAAATCAAAAATTGTCATCAGGCACAGCAGAAACCTTCTCTTTCTACTTCTCCATGCGAACTTGAAGAATTCTACACGTTTGCCTAAGGAACAAACACAAGTCAGGTACTCCACTGTTCAACAGATTATTACAGAAAGCAAACCTCAGAAAAAGGGAACATTTTAACAAGTGTAAAGGAACAGCAAGACAGTAACTTCCTTTATTTCCATAAAAACTTATAGTGAGGAAGATTTTGCATGTCTCTTTGAAGCATTATAAGCTCTTAGAATGTTATTTTTTATTTCAGAAAAACATATAGACATTAAGTGGGACCTAAAGTAAATAGATTTTATGAGAAATTAATAATGGATAGTAAGTACTTCTCTTGAATATATGGGGATGTATTCTGTACAAAGTTAAAAGTTCATTAAAATCAGATAAAGCACATAGAAATCAACATTTTTAACCCAAAAGGGTGAAAACAGGAGAAACAAACAGTATATAGTAATATTTAGCTAGCACTCAAAAATCTAATATATGCAATCTTAATTATACTATTTCCTAAACAACCCACAATAATTTCCTGAAGCATCAACCTGATTCACACATACTGTAAGGCTGAAAAGTAAAGCTAAGTCATTTAACTAATGTATGGGTATAAAACTAGATATGATCATTTATTATTCAACCCAGATTTCTTATTTTCTACTCATCAGTTCCGTATTTTTCATTGAATGGAATTATGACACTTTTAATTTATAGTTCATGACATGGCTATGGTTTCAAAAGTTTTCTTTATACTATTTCCAGAAATCCTCTAAAGAATAAAAAGAAAAGAGAAAAATGTTATGACCTTGGTCTCCCAGCATCTAATCAGAAGAAATACTGATCTGAGGAAGTGTAGGGCTGTTGAGCTCAGTCACTGTGTTAACTCATTTATTGGGTTGAGATAAAGTAAACACAGTCATGAAAGGCTCAGGCTCAGGAAAAACATAAATGACTGCAGACAAAGGATTAGGCTTGAGGAAAATTTAGAGGAGTTCTTTGTAATTTAGAAAGAGCAAAGAACATTTGGGAAAATATGTACCTAAACGCTTCTATTCCTCCATTTTCCTTACATTGTTGTAGAGCACATAGGAAGTCTTTGGGGAAAATGTTCATTAATTTCATGTATCCTCACTGAATATTTTTAGAATGATAATTTTTCTCCATATGTCTAATAGCTAATTAGTTTCTAGACCCAAGTCATCTTTTTAAACTGTTTTCTACTAATTGTTCCACTGCCACTATCTTAATTGAGGCCTCTATTCTATATAGTTTGTAGTGTTGCAATAATATTCTAATTTGCCTCCCCAAATTGTCTTATTTTCTGCAATTCTTTTCTCTTAGACAATATTACAGACTTTTCTTTTCAGAATCCTGGTAAAAATTATAGATGGAAATCATTCCCAATGATCTAGAAGAAGGTTCTTCATGATTTGAACTTAACATACCCAGTCTCATTCCTTTTCATTCCCAACTACACTCTGAGCCCTATAGGATCAGTTTCAATCCTATATATTTACTACTCTAAGGACTAGAGATGCTGATTTATATCTCCTCTGTGCATAATTTACCTTTGTCTGACATAGTTTTCTTTCAAGTCTTACAAAAACTGTTATCAAAGATCATTCTTAAGTCATTGTGATTCATGTAGATAGCATTTTGTCAATACTTTTATTATAGCATAATATAATATAAATAGCAAATGGTCATGCCAAGAGGTATAACATATAAAAACAATAAGCACACATTCATTTCTCCTGTGCTGAATAGCAAATCTAGGCACTTAAATGATTCCCAATATTTATTAAAATGAAATTTGAAACAATGAATGAACGGGTGGGTGGATGAATGTTTAAATGAATTAATGAATGACTATGAGGAGAAAAAATAAATTTCCAACTAAGGAAAACTAAAGTTACTCTTTGGATTCTCTATGAATAGGGGAATTAATAGGGGAATAATTAGGTGACCTCAAAGGTCAGTTTTTCCATTTAAAAAAAATTTTAAGAATCAGTCCCATGATTCTGTCATTAAGGAATTTCAAATTAGAGAAATACATGGGTCCTGACATCAGCTTCACAATTCACACCTTATATATTTAAATTTATTCTCACTTGGAAATGGTCTGATTTTTAAAACAAAATTAATTCATGAAAATAATAATGCAAGTAGATAATAGGAATCTGTGATGCTTTAATTGGTTTTAGGTTAACCACTTGGGATATAGAAAATGTTCAAATTAGATACATCAAGTTTGAAATATTAACTGTAATGAATATGATAGAATCAGAAATTATTCTATTTTTTTAAAAAATGCATTATTACCTCTTAACACTTCTTTAAATAATGCCCATATAGTGTTATGCAGCAGTATTACAATTAACCCTTGGCAACAATTATTCTCCATATAAGTATTTCAGACTCACTTGACATCATATATAGAATTGTAAATAAGTTATCAAAGAAAGCAAACAAATACCACGGTGATTGATTCACTCCCAAATACTGATAATATAAATCTATTTTTATGTATATGTATTATATAAATATAACAGTATTTTGACATTATAGTGACTTGATATATATATCACTGTGATCACTGTCCTTCTGTTGTTCATCGATTTGCTCGAGCGGGCCCAATAATGTCTCCATTGGAGACTTTGTTGTTACTGTGTTTGGCATATCGAATACGTCACGGGTAGCTTGCCAGGCTTTGCCGTGCGGACAAGATACTCTCAGTGGCTTGCCAAGCTCTCCGAGAGGGGCAGAGGAATCGAACACGGGTCGGCCATGTTGGCTGCATGCAAGGCAAATGCCCTACTGCTGTTCAGATGCCTGACTTTCACACATTTGCCTATTTATTTTTAAAATATACAGGCTGCTATTTTAAAGGACAAAGTGAAGGTTTTATATAGTAAAAGATAATATATTACATTTTTTGGTCTAAACTCAAATACCAAGTGTATCCAATTTCAATTCTCTTCTGCTTTTCAGGAAAAGCTTGCAATTGCTCACCATCTTTTTTTTTTTAGTGAGACACCATGAGGTACAGTTGTAGACTTACAAATTTTGTGCTTGGGTTTCAATTATACAATGATCAAATACCCATCCCCCCCGACCAGTACCCATTTCCCACCACCATGGATCCCAGTATCCCTAACATCCCCCATCCCCCCCATCCCAACCTGCCTCTGCAGCAGGGCATTACCCTCTGTTCTCTCTCTCCTTTTGGGAGTAGTGTTTTGCAAAATAGGCATTGAGTGCTCACCATCTTTTTGTGTGCCATCTTTTGCCTCCAGGCTTATATTATAATCACTAATATCACTGATAATCACATCACTTAATCACTTAATCACTTAATCCCCGTTATTCATCGATTTATTCGAGCGGGTGCCAGTAACATCTCCATTCATCCCGGTTGCGTGCTAGCGTAGCCCAATGGTATCTGTTCGTTTTAGGAACATGTAGAGCCTCAAACCGATCATTTAGGCTCTTGACGAAGAAGTCTGACCATCTTATAGGTTGGCGTCCATGTGATCTTTTGATGTCTCGTGGAATCCAATCAGTAATGGCTCTAGTCCAGCGGTTGTCTGTAAACCTCATTACGTGTCCAGCCCATCTGATTTTTGATGTCTTGGCAAATGAGACAGCGTCCCTGATTCTTGAGCGTTGACGAAGATCAGAACTCTGGATTCTATCTCTCATTTGAGTGAATCGTGATATTCCAAGCATAGTTCTTTCGATTCCTCTTTGAGAGACCCGAATAGTGTTCTCATCCTGTTTTCGTAGGGTCCAGGTCTCTGAGGCATATGTTAATGCAGGAAGAATAGTGGAATCAAAGAGATGTGCTCATAGCTGGAGGTTCTTTGTCCTTTTAGTTATTTCTTCAATGCTCTTGAAGGCATTCCAAGCCGCTCTCTTCCTCCTGCGCAACTCAGGTGCCAGGTCATTCATCATGTTGATTTCTCGACCTAGGTATATATAACTGTTGCATTCGGAGATGGTGGTTCCGTTGAGAGCGAATGGAGCGTCAGGAACAAGGCTGTTTCTCATAAACATTGTCTTCGCAAGATTCAGCTGTAGTCCGACCTTTCCACATTCACAGTCAAAGTCGCTCAGCATTTGTGTCGCTTGGTTGATGTTTGGTGTTATTAGAACAATGTCATCAGCAAAGCGGAGGTGGTGTAGTTGCCGACCATCTATCTTCACTCCCATGTTTTCCCATTCCAGCCGTCGCATGATGTTCTCAAGGGTGGCACTGAAGAGTTTTGGTGAAATGGTATCACCCTGCCGAACCCCTCTCTTGATATGGATGATTACTTCTTTGTAGAATGGTGAGATCTTGGTAGTGATTCCGCAATAGAGCTCACGAAGGATCCTGATGTATTGAGTTTGTACGCCCTGATTGGCTAGGGCTTCTATGACCGCTTCCCTTTCAACAGAATCAAAGGCCTTCTTTAAATCAATGAACGTTAGACAGAGTGGCATCTTGAACTCCCGAGATACCTCAATGAGCTTGGTTACTGTGTGGATATAGTCGATGGTACTGAATCCTTTTCGGAATCCAGCTTGTTCACATGGTTGTCCTTCATCTAGTGTTCTGCTAATCCTATTCAGGATGACTCGAGTGAATAGTTTGTAGATGACAGACAATAGGCAGATTGGGCGATAGTTGCCAATGTCGTGGATGTCTCCTTTCTTGTATAGTAGTACAGTCTTGCTGGTTTTCCATTGGGATGGAACCTTGCATTCAGACAGGTAGCATGTGAAGAGTCGAGCCAATGTATTGATGAGTACTGATGGTAAGTTCTTCAGGTGTTCAGGTCTGATCTTGTCTGGGCCAGGTGCTCTTTGTTTCTTTACAGACGAGATGGCATGTTGGATTTCGGAAGGGAGAACATTGGGAACGACATATCCATCATGTGGTTATCTCTCTCTTGGCATTCCTTGCACAATCATGGAGGTGCTGAATCATTCGATTGTATTCGTCATCAATGTTGTCAATGACGGCATCTTCCCATGTTGCCGCAACAGAGCCAAAGAGTTCCCAGTTGGTGG